TTCTAAAAGAAAGTGAAGAAAAATAAGTACATTTTAATTAAGATTCAATACACACAACAAATATGGACACAAGCAATTAACAAAAGCACACAAAAAATTTTTTTCCCCAGCCAACCGAGGAGCAGAAGCTTCAGCAAGCAATAAAATAGGGAAGTCAGAGAGAAAGGTAACAAAAGGCTAAGGACCCATACTTTCAGTCTCTGAATCATCTGGAACTAGCTGTAAAGCAAACAATCCAAAATCAAAAAGGGGATATGTTTTGTATCTACAATCCAGATTTTACGATATACAAGTCTCGTCTATGACCTTTTCAAAAAAGTATAAATTGGCACCCTTTCAGGTGTAGAAACTTATAAGAGATGCATATGTGTTTGCACACATATGTAAAATATCAGGTGAAAATTTTTAGGACTAAACAAAATGTAGTTAATGGTGTATAATAAAATAACAATGAAGAAAAAATCTGAAGGCCAGAAAGACTATCATGCCAAAAGATTTGACAAGCAGTGCTCAGCTGTGACTTGACTATACCTGCCTACGGATGATGTAAGATTTTTAAATATCAAATGTTTGTCCACTTTTTCTAGACCCCCTCATAAATGTATAGCAATGTTATTTTGGTCTGCTACTCACAATGAGATTTACTGCCTAATTCAGGAGGGTCTTAGATCTAACAGCACTGACAAGGGAGGGGCAAGACTGAAATGACTAATTTTACATTATTCTTCCATTTTTAATAATGTAGAGAACACAAAATGGCATATTTTCAAACTTCTAGAAATGTAACTTACATTCTCTCTATCCTTCAAAATTCCTCTGTGTGTACCATTACAGGAATGAACTATTACCTATTAGCAATTTCTAAATTATATTCATGGTGTCTAGGACAGAGAGAGGATTTTCATGAAAGGCCCTGGTTTGAATAAGGCCATACACTCTTTCATTATAACCAGAAGCACAGGGCATCAAATGGCAACAAATCTTTTAATTGATCACTTCATTAAAATGTTTAGTTGTTCCTGGGCAGCAAGACCTCAACTCTACAATAAATCAAAAAAAAAAAAAAAAAAATCAGCCGGGCGTGGTAGTGCATGCCTGTAATTCCGGCTACTTGGAAGGCTGAGGTGGAAGGATCGCCGCAGGTCGAGGCTGCGGTGGCTGCACTCCAGTCTGGGCGACAGAGTGAGACTCCAACTCAAAAAAAAAGTACAAAATGTTTAGTTTTTGTTGTGATTTTTGGTGTGTCTCACCTAAGAAACTATAACTTCAATTCTGGAAAATAGCTGTAATCCGTCTTCTATAAAATTTTAAAGTTTAAAAGTAATTGTAAAAGGACAAGAAAATGACTAAAAGAAAAAAAGGAACCTGAGCATTCAACTATGTTTAATGGAGCACAGAAAAATGACAAAGTACAAATAAAAACAAGCTTTTATTTCTTTCTTTAGTTAACTCATTCATCCATCCATCCAGTCAGCCATCCATCCAGTCATTCCATACTTGTTTGGGAACCTATTGGGTTCAGGCATTCACTCTTCTAGGCCTTGTTTGGAAAAGGCTGTTATCCTGGCTCTCCAGAAGCTTTAATTCAGGAAATCAAGTAAGCAAGTGAATGGCCAATTTCTACTTCAAAGAGGGAAAATTTATATTTGGACAATATACTAAAATAATTTTAGAAAATAATATTTTTATGACAAAATACTAAGAAGCATTTAGTAAAGAGACTTTACAAATTAAAAGCAAAAACAAAACAAAAACTTATCAGTTAAGAAAATCAGCAAAAGAGCCAACAGATACATGAAAAAATGCTCAGCCTCACTAGTTATCAAAGAAATGCAAATTAAAGTCACTGGTAGATACCGCCTAACTCCATCAGGATGGCCATCATCAATAACTCAAAAAACAACAGATGCTGGTGAGGATGCAGGGAAAAGGGAACACTTCTACAATGGTGGTGGGAGTGTAAACTCGTACAACCTCTGTGGAAAACAGTTTGGCGATTCCTAAAAGATCTAAAAATCACCCTTCCATACGACCCCACAATCCCCTTTCTGGGAATATACCTAGAGTAACTCAAATCACTCTGTGAAAAAGATACCTGCACACACGTTTATTGCAGCACTATTCACAATAGCAAAAGCATGGAACCAACCGTGCTGCCCATCGAAAGAGGACCAGAAAAAAAAATGCGGTGCATATACATGATGGACTATCACACAGCCATAAAAGACAAAAGTATGAACTTCACAGCAACTTGGATGGACTTAGAGTCTATAATGCTGAGAAACAAAGAACTGAGTATCACATGTTCTCACTTATAAGCGGACCTTGAACATTATCATAATACTGTAAGAAAAGGATTGGCAGTAGTGGGAAACTGCCAAGGGAGAGGGTGGCACACCTCATCAACAAGGATACCTGGATAATGAACATTTGTATATCTAACCCCGAATTGTACCCCATATCTTTAACATAAAAATTTAACAAAAGAAAACAAAAACAAAAAAAAAGAGCCAAAGCCATAAGCACATAAAAAGATGTTCCATTTCTCTTGCAAAGAAACACAAATACATGTGTATACACACACACACACACACACACACCAAAGAATTTAATATGTGTACTTGATATACATGCAAGCATAAATGAACACATTCTGTGAGGCTGATTTTGCAGTATTGATAAACTGAGAATTTTTAAGTGTACATTTGCTCTTAGCTAGCAGTTACATTTTTACAAATAAAAAAAGCATCAATTTATATACATATTCAATGCTTGGCATTCATCAACAAAAGAAGATATATAGAAAGATGCTCACTACAAGCCTTGTTCATAATAGCCAATAATAAATGCCCACCACCAATGGAGCAATGAGCAAATAAACTGTAAACTGTTCATATAATAGAAAACAATGCAGTCACTTCAAATAAAGATACAAAAGACGCAGCTTTTAAAGTATATACAGAGATATCAAAGCTCTTCTAAAAGGAAAATACAACTAGCATATAACATAATTCTACTTTCATCCTTTTGTTTATGTACTTCTATGAATTTGGGCACTTTTTTAAAAGCATGAACATTGATCACTTTTGTAATTTAAAGATGATCTATTACAACTGGAGAAAGGGATATACTAGAATGAACAAACTCTCAAACTGGCTGAAAACTAACAAAATGCTAATTCTTCGTAAAGTTTTTAAAAAACTAAATTATACATATTCACAAAAACAAAACTGAAAATTAGACATGTTTCAACATGAGTGTATTATAATACAAAAAAATAAATTAAAAACTGAAAAATCTTAACACTGATTAAGACTTAAAATTCTGCCTGATTAGTGAAAATGATTCATAAACTGTCATTCTGAAAAACCAAAATTAAAAAGTTCAAAATATTTATGGCTAAAGGATAAAAAAAGTTTTAAAAGCAATTATGCTTAAGAATACTTAGGCATTTAATGACTGTTCAAATCATTTTCTGAAGTTGATGAATTGCCTGCTTTACAGATTATGAATTTACAAATATTTAGGTTATTAAATTAGATTAGGTTCCCTATATAATTTTTATATATCTGTATCTATATTTTATATATATATATATATGTTTGTATCTAGTCCAACTTAATTTGAAAGAACTGAAAATGGTATTTGCAATGACTAATTCAGAATCACAATTAGCTTAATATTCACAAAGTAGTAGTCTAAATTGCCTTGTTATTTTTTAATGGTAGCCATAATTTACTGAGATAAAAGATGAGTCACTATAAAATCTAAGTAAGATTTATATATACATACTATTTGTAAATATTCCCAAGAGTAATCTTATCTTGAACATTATTTGTTCAGTTCAACAGTAAATCTTATACAACATTAGTTCTAAAGCATAGCATGTGGCTTCTAGATAAGTGCTTAACAAAAATCAGAAAGAAAATGTAAGAAAATACATGCACGTGGTTAAATAACTTCAACAGTACTATAGGGTGCACAGTGAAAATAAGTCTCCTTGCCATCCCAGACCCCCAGGGCTAAACTGTAATGGATGAAAAGCTCAAAGACAAAAACTGAGTTCTCCTCCAAAAAAGTATATAGTAACAGGATCCAAAGTGTATTTGATTGATACTAAGCGAAATTCCTCAACTTAAAAACAGAAGAATATGATATATAACAAAGGTTAATTGGACTATACCATCACTATCTTGTTTCAAAATCATATGTAATTGAATGCCTACAGAAAAGAATCAGGTCATTTATACTACCTAAAAATACAACTGAAGGCCCTTAAAATAAAAACTACCTCTATATACGAATTCATTGGTTAGCATACCCACAATTCACAATGTTTGGTATTATCATTCCATACCCCCAAACTGTTCAAGCCAAATTAAATAATGAACAATTCAACTTCACAAACACTTCTTCCCTTCAATGAGGGAAACTAGAAAAATACAAAGTCCTAAAAACAAAGAATTTAAAATGACAAAATAAGAGGCACAGCAACATTTTTAAAAAGATGTTTTATTATTATGGAATGTCTTTTTGGTGTTTTTAATGTTTTACAAAAGACTAAAAAATGGCTACTTGTTGGCAGGGAAAAAGGGGACACCAAAAACATGTTTAATAAAAACTCATTGAGTAGAATACTTTCATAAATTAGTATTTCTCACTTCAAAAGAAATGTGACTTTGCTTGATGATACAGATTCTATATCAAGTATGCAGACATAATACCCAATATAAAATGAGAAATAAAAAAACATTACAACAGTTTGAATATTTCCACTGTTGTACCCATTTAAAGTTTGAATGCCACTGATACTTATAAAGGTGACTCAATTTTTTATTAAAGTCTGTAACTATTTTAAATACTTGCAAGCTAAAAAGCATTAAGTACTATTTGTCACTAAAGACAAAGAACTTATTAAATTTAATGGATAATCAATTATCAACCAGACACATCAAAGCTGAAAGATCTATAATGTTCTAAAACAGTATTTAAGTGCATACCCATTAAATCCAGTGACAATTTTCAGTATTCTTTCCTTCATTTCATCAAAGGGAATATATTCGACATTAGGGTTGGGAGGACCTCTTGGTTCAGGAGCTGAAGTTCTGAAATCATCCATCACTTTCTCCAGTTTGAAAATAAAATAGCCTTTAAATTGGGACCACTGAATCCTACAAGCAAAAAATTAAAAAATATATAATACCATGTAGTTTTACAACTCAACACAAAGCACAAATACAGAATATACCATGATACGAATACTAGAGAATGAAAATGTGAATAATTTGTGAGAAGGTCTTTGTTCAGAGGCATGCCTCATGCCTCATCAACCTCACAAGCTCCAATCTGATTCTATTCAACTTCCCAAACCCAAACAAAACCTAAATCTCGATTAAAACTTTTAAAATGAATTATCTGGCTGAAAGCCTGTGGTGTTAGTTCTCATTCTTCCCATGTTTAAAACAGTATATCTATGGTATCGACATTATTACAAAAAAAATAAAATAGTGCTCCATTTTTAGTTATACCCTTATATCCATTATATCCCTTATAACAAACCTAACCAGGGAGGTGTTACTGTCCCCATTTAATACACGTCTAAATTATATACCTTAACCTCTAACAGCTAATCTACAATGCTTACAAGGACTAGTAAAATTTCTTGTGTATTTATCTGCTAAATAACAAAATAAACTGTAATTTCTTTTCCCCTTTCAACTAATATTTTCAGGATCCTTAGTCATTTAAGAGATACATAGTGTAATAGGTTCTATACAACCAGTACATGAACAGTAAAAATACATACAAACATAACTTCCTTATGTTTCATATCTAAGTTATATTTTTATCCTTCTTTCCTCTCATTATATTACCACTAATATAAGAAATTTCATAATGATACATAATATAAGAAATTCCGTAATGATATCTGCCTGAATAATCTAAATTCCAGGAGATGCAAGACTCAGATAAGCCAACCACTTCCTCAGACAGCACTACCATTAGTGGCAGCAGATCAACCTCTTACACAGATTGACTACTTAAAATTACACAAAATAATAGGAGCACTAATCTCCAATAATCCTTCCATCCCATCCGGGAATATAAACTAGAACAGCAGTTTCCAAACTGCGGTCCAGAAGGCCAAAGATATTGTCATACAAATAACAGCTGACTTTTTCACTGTGTGGACGCTTGTACCGATGGCACAAAATCAACAATGGGATAAGACTGATAGTACTTTAACAGGAGTCAAGGCAGCAGCAGTCAGTCACCATCACAAACTAAGTTTTTAAAAGTCTTTCACTTAAAGTGTAACAAAGAATTTAAAATTATTAATTTCATTAAATCTCAACCCTTGAACACACATCTTTTTAATATTCTATGTAATAAAATAAATAAACATAAAAGGACATATGCTTCATATTAAAGTAGTATGGAAGTCACAAGGAACAATACTTGAATAACGATGCCAGCTGCTATTTTTCATACAACAGCATATACCCCTGGAAGTACTGTCACACAGACAATGTTTATTTAGACCAGAAGAATATGGAAGACATTTTCTCAAAAAATAAAGCGAGTCTGTCATTTCCAGAGAAACAACTGACAATATTGGTTACCAATTATAAAATCTGAACTTCCAAGCAAGGAACCAAAAGTCTGGAAAATTTTTACTCTTCGCTGTGAGCCTGGAAGGATCCCGATACATTTACAAGACATTCTGAAAGCAATTAGTGTTGACATAAAAGATATTATGTGACACCAAAAACACAAGCAACAAAATAAACAGATAAACTGAACTACATCAAAATTAAAAACTGTACAAAGGACACTATAAATAGAGCACAAAGTCAACCCGTGAAATAGCAGAAATTATGTGCAGATCTTTTATCTAATAAAGGGTTAATACCTAGACTATATAAAGAACTACAACTTAACAAAAAAGACAACCCAATTAAAAAATTAAAAACTAAGTATTTAAATAGACATTTCTCCAAAAAAGATATACAAATATGTCTAATCAAGCACATGAGATGATGCTCCACACATCACTAACCTTAGGGAAATGTAAATCAAAACCACCATGGATATCACTTTATATCTATTAGACTGGCTATTAGTGAAAAAAACAAGACAAGTATTGGGCAGCAAGGATGTAGAGAAACTGAAACTCTTGTACATTACTGATGGGAATGCTGTAGCCACTGTGGACAACAGTAAGGATGCTCAAAAACAAACAAACATAAAATTATCCTATGATCCAGCAATTCCATTTATAGTTAGATCCTCAAAAGAACTGAAAACAGGGACTCAGACACTTGCACATCAATGTTCAATGCAACATTATCCACAACGAACAAAAGGTAAATACAACCCAAATGCCCATCAACGGATGACAATAGATAAACAAAATGTGATACATACATACAATGCAATTTTATCCAGTCTTTAAATGGAAAGAAATTCTGACATGTGACAACGTGGATTAACCTTGATACAACATGGATTAACCTTGATGGCATTATGCAAAGTGAAATAAGTCAGACACAAAAGAATAAATATACAGTATAATTGCACTTATAGTAAGTATCCAACAGTCAAATTCAGAGGCAAACAGTAGTAGTCAGAGGCTGAGGAAAGGGAGGTATGGGGACTTACTGTTTAATGTGTAGCATTTCAGTATAGGTAGATGAAAAGGTTCTGCAGGAGGATGGTAGTGATGATAGCACAACATTGTGAATGAACTTAATGTCAAGGAATTGTACACTTAAAATGGTTGAAATGGTAGTTTACAAAATGTGTATTCGAATAGACATTTCTCCAAAGATATATAAATGGCCAAGGAGCATGTGAAAACATACTCAGTATTAGTATCCATTAGGAAAATGAAAAACCAAACCACAATGAAATACCAATTTCTCACACATTAGGGTATCTATAATCAAAAAGATGAACAATAAGTGTTGACAAAGATGTGGAAATGTCACACACTGCTAGTGGGAATGTAAAATAGTACAGTTGCTTTGGAAAATACCCAGGCAGTTTCTCGGCAGTTAGAGTTGAGCTCCAATAATTCCATTCTGTTAACCAGTGAATTACATGGCATGCAAATTTTATCACTATTATTTTTTAAATGATGAGGATTATTATTAAAAGCTATTTGCATTATTACTTTTTTCTTCCTTTCCCTAGTCTATTTTAGAAAGGGAAATGTGAGGTTTAACAAGCACAAGTAGCAAATTATAATTTTGATATGTCTAATATTAATTTCTGATTAATATACAACTGACAATTATTCCTAAAATTTATCTTTAAATTTTAACAAGACTCCCCACATATCTTTAGAGACACATGCATACAGAGACATCTTGTGAATCACCCACCAACAACTCGATCACATTTTTTTACGATCCGGTGAAAAACGAATCACTTCATATTAAATAGTACAGCGTTGAAGCCAATTATTTTACTGTAGTGATATTGAACTTATAATGAAATTTTGGACATTGAAGAACTTATTTATGACAAAAAAAATCAAAATTTTATCTTATATTTTTCTAACGTGTGATAGAATAAAACAGTCACCAACGTGCATTGCAGGCTCATTGATCCATGTTTTGCAATAGTAATAATTTGACCTCTTCCACCTGGTGTTTTTCTTTTTTTAGACTGGAAAATAGAGTGTATTTAAAAAGTAAACGATATATATATACTGAGATATGATTGATATGATATGAGAGAGAGAGAGAGAGAGAGAGAGAGAGAGAGAGAGAGAGAGAGAGAGAGAGAGGTGTGACTCACCTCTCCAGGGTAGGGTAGGGGGCCAAAACTAGGTAATCATGGCAACTGTGGCTCAATGAGCCATATGGTCAGACCATGGCTTAGCAAGCAATGGCCTCACCTTGCTTTTCTATTCGAGCAGACAATGCAGTCTCTTTTTCTTCCTTCTACATTTATGTGTAATTTATTGTCCAGCGTGTTGTTCAAAGACAATGTGGAAGGATGCACTTGTGATTCCTGAAAACCACTTCTCAGCTGATCAATCATATCTCAGTATATATTCCACCTCTTTATTTGCTTTTTCATGTAATTTGAATGGAAAACTTCAAGAAAATATACATTTTTGAAAAATTTGCACTTGCATAAGTTTGTCCTGTATAATCACCAGCAACCTCTTTACATCCCCTGAGAGGGGGCATCCAAGTGGTTTAGTAGATTTACAATGTCCCCTCTCAGAGGGGTCATCCTAGTGCAAAGAGATAAACACACTAGGGAAATTATGCTGAAATAGGAGTCATATATTTTTCATTTCTTAAATTAAGACTTTTTTGTAATTTTAATAATCATTCACTAATACATAAAGTTTTGTGAGTTCAGATTTCCATATGCAACTTTTTTTTAACTTCATCTTTCCATTAACCACTAGACATGATATCTATGAGATCCAAAAAAACACACTAATGGGAACAGTCAGACAAGAAGTAAGGGACCCAGGTAATGGACACTCGGAAGCACTTCAAAGACATTCTAACAGTAACTCATGAGACAGGAATTAAGTCTCCTAAACTGACATGAATTATGTACACTCTGTATTTTACCTTTCAAATATATCAAGTAGAGTTATTCTAAATTAGATCTAAGTGATGCAATTCAAGTGATACCATGCCATATATAGATGCGGAAAAAGCCTTTATAAAATGTGAAAGACACAGCTTTTTGTTGGAGCACAACTATTTGATGAGAACAGAAACAGAAAATACTTCCCTGAAAATTATATAATTCAGGCACAATAACAGGACAAGAGGAAATCTAAAATTTGGCAACAAAAATAATTTTTTTAGGAATGTACTCAATGGATAAGCAGCAACTAGAATAACCACCACCACCCCTTAGTTTTCCATATGAAAATGAAACTATTCTAAACAGATGCTAATAAAACACATTCTCAACTTTAGAACAAACTTCTCCACATAAAATGTCCCCCCAAAATAAAATACAAACTCAGAATTTAAATCTATTTTGTTGAAATTAACTCAATAATTTACTGAAATTACTAGCTCAGAAAACTTCTGTAAGTGGGGCCCCAACTAAGAGAAGGTTTCATTTACATTGTCATATAACATCGTATTATATATTAACTGAACATTACAACAGATCAGTGGAACGG